AAAAAAAAAAAAAAAGAAAGAAAGAAAGTAAAAGAAAATTACATGTGTCAGGCCAGCAGATGGCATGGTTTAAGGCACTGGATTCCCACATGACCAACTGGGTGGTTTGGTTCCTTGTCCCTCAGAGAATGGAGTAGTCATTCCCTGGGAGTGATTTCTGTGTAGCCAACTTTCCTGGGAGTGATTTCTCACTTTCCTTCTCTCTCTCTCTCACTCTCACTCTCTCTTTCTCTCTCTGGGGAGTGCACATGCCCTATGACAAAAACTGAAAAAAAAAAGTGTTAATATCCCACAGATTCCACCAGAAGAGGTTGTAAGTATTGGGAAGCTGTCAAGCAAGGTAACAGTGATAAATATAAATTCTCCAAAATTCTAATTTTGTCTTAGAAGGTTTCATTTTCTCATTGGTAAAATTACTCAGTGGATTATCTCGAAGGGACAGATTTCACCAAATATTCAAGTGCCAAAAGTGTCAGTGAAATATCCCAGTCTAAATAATAATATTGTCTCTGTCATTCATTCTTTTTTTTAAAAGAGTGATTTTTTGTTATAAGGCACATAATGCTCGCCAGAGAGATAGAAAGCAAGAAATCATCCCGCTGGGGAGATGGCCATGCAGCAATCCCTTCTCCATTCTCCTCTCTGAATTTTAGGCACACACACACACATGCCCAGCATGAGTTCTAAGTCACCAGGTCTGGGACGTAAACCTCAGTAGACTACATTTGAGTTAAGCGACATAACCATTACACCACCTGCTCTTCCCTCCTTCATTCATTCTTTCAAGTAAAATTGCTATTCCATAAAAATGGAGCTAATATAGCTCAAAAATTTTTTCCCTGACACAAACATCCTACTTTGGAGTATAATAGAGGTGCTTTGTGAATATTTCTCATTTAGTCATGTAAGACATCTTAACAGTGTGGACATTGAAATGAAGGTTTAATGAAGTTCATCTTTCTGTGTAAGTTTTTTGTATAAGGTGTGTGCTCACACCAGAAAGAGAAAGAGAGAAAGAAAATGAGAAATCCCCCCTAATGGGGGATGGCAACACTGCAGTCTCTAAACCTCTTATAACAGGAAAAGCCAAACAGTTTTTAACCCTGTTGGGTTTTTTTTTTTTTTGCTTTATTTTGTTTCTCTTTCTTGTATTTTCAGGGTTAACTGGTGCTTGTAGTTTCTGTAACTAATAATCTGTAACTATTGTAAAAAATAAGATAATAAATAAGTCTGTTTGCTTAGAAGAGGAAACTTAAGTCACTTGCTTTAGACAAGGTCACAAAAATGCAACAAGACCTTAGGTGAGAAACAGGAATGTTTAATCTAGGGACACAGTATAACAGATTCAATTGGGAAAACTGTAATAATGTTATCATTTACTGTAATAGCTACTCACAGATGTTTAGATTGTTTGTTAAACAGTACAGCTTCAAGAAAATGCGTTGCAGCTCCCCTTAATCTATCAGTGTAGTCACAAGTCTGAGTTAGCAGATTCAGTGTCGCCATAAGAACAAAAACAGGGTCTCAGATGTCATGTAAAAGGGAAAGGTGTACGGAACAATTTTGGGAAAATCATGAGGGTAAGAGAACACTGAACTAGCTACATCTATATTATGAATAAGAATGGATAAG